ATGAGTGGTGCAACTTGTCTCCAGCCAGCTGATCCTAAAGTAATTGGAGGAGGTCTTGGGTGGATGACGTGCGTGTGAGCCACCCGTCAGAAAGCTTTTGGAGGAGGTCTTGGATGGATGACGTGTCAGATCCATGATTTCCTGTGAGTGAGTCATCCATGGGAAAGCTTTTGGAGGAGGTCTTGGATGGATGACATGTCAGATCCGTGATTTCCTGTGAGTGAGTCATCCATGGGAAAGCTTTTGGAAGAGGCTTTGGCTGGATGGATGACGCGTCAAACTCATGGGTCACATGACAATGAACTTCCTTGGGGGCGGCCTCCTGCACCATGTTTGGGGCACCACCGAAAGCCATGGAGGTGTGTTGGAGTCTAGTTTTGATAGCTTTGAGGGTGGATGACCGGCGACGGCCCACTAGCTATTGCGAGCCGAGCCAAGTTATGCGTTGACCCTAAAAAGACACGCGCCAAGTTCCTATCAAAACAGAATCCCCCAAAACGGACAGCTGTGAACTCCAATAAATTGTTCGTACGAACACCTTTCATTATGGATTTTTTGCCTTTGCCTTAAAAAAACACACGCCACCAAAAAATCAAGCGCTTGAAACAATTTATGCGTATTCATTGGAACAACAATGCCAAGTAAAAATCAATGGGCAGCAAGTTGTAAACAAAACAAACCTGACGCGTTTAACATGGCGTTTTGTTTGTCACACTCCACCGTTGCTCAACCGTGTGTGTTTTTTTCACTGACAAGCTCAAGCCGGCTTCGCTGCCGGTGGTGAAAAGGCTTTACTCTACATCTTCAATTGCGTCTTCCTCTTTCTCTTCAGACTCTGGGTCTTCACCATCATCGGCGTTCGCGCCAGAATCATCTTTTGTTGCGGCGGTTTCCGCCGCTGGACAATCACGACTAGCTGCAGCTGCAGCGCTCAGCATGGTTTCCTCTGTTCAACTAATTCCAAAATTTCCACCGCTCAAGGAGTGAAAACAAACAAAAAACTTGGGCACGACATACACTAAGGTCATGTCCACCAGCTCAATGCCTTCAGACTTTCCCAATCCCTTCGCCATCTCATTTCTGACAGCTTCCTGGGAAAATACTCGCGACACTTTCAAAGAACATGAGTGGCGAGCAAAATTTTATCTTGCACCTAACATGGCATTGACAGACTGAGCTGCTGCTGCTGTTGTAAAAAAGTTGTTTCTTTAAGACTGAGCTGCTGCTACCTCTTGGATCTTAGCCGCTGGAACACCTTCGCGAGGCTTCACCTCAAGGGTGCCCAGGCATCACGACAACCGCAAACTCATCCACCATTGTTTGTTTTCAAACAACTGCATGATTATTGACAATTGGACCAATGCCCCCACCCTCACGACTTCACTGCCATCCACTTTGATTCCCCAAATCCCTGCACGGTTGCCCGAAGAGTACATGTACACGGAAGTCTTGATCTGTTTCTCGGCGGGCTTCTCATCAACCAAAGATTCCGAAGCAGAGGCTGGCCGTTTTTTCACTGAAAGTTTCTGAGATGCATCATCCTTGGGGTCAGCATCAGACTCTGCAGTTTGAGCAACTGGTTTTTTCATGACAGCCTTGGCGGTGGCCGCCTTGTTTTTCGACTTTGCTTTAGCTTTCGGTGTTTCTTTGCTCTTTGACTCTTTTTTGGCGGGCACCGACGGAGCCTTAGGCGAAGGCTTGGGGACAGGCAAAGGTTTGGGAGTTGGACTGACTTCCTCATCTGATAACTGCGAGATGTTCGCGATAGGCATGGCCAACCTGTGCGTCCCAAGATCCGCCTGGTGGTCACTCTATGAAAAATGGCTACGAATTGAAAACTTCGGTTGATGCCGTTGCGCAAATTAGACAGTGAAACTTTGCACAGCTGTCAAAAGAATCTGTCATTTTCCAGCTCTGTCGGGTCCAGCCAGTTGAGAGTAGGCTCTTGCGCATTTATCCACCACCGGGAAGAAATTTGAAGCCGCGCGCGCTCTTCTTCTGGTATTCATAAATCATTTTATGAATTGCGCCAAGGGATCACACCAAGAACTTTGAAACAATCTTCTGTGCCCCCCACAGAAATGACTTGTTTGGTTCCAAGGCTTCAACCAACTATTATTCTGTCGCACGCTGACATACTATGAGCGCCTGCGCATCAGTTCACACTCAGCTTGACAGCATGCTTGGCTGCAATGCTGAGGCGGCATACAAGCCAAAATTTAGGCTTCAGCGCCATGATTTTGGATGGCACCCCAGATTCAATCTTTACCTGGCAATGGGTTCAACAAATTTCAGTCTTGCGCTAGCAGCTGACACGATTGGGGAAATATGTGCGCAATTACTCAAACGACCCTTAAAGTTCAGCTGAATTACCTCCCACAATGTTGAAGCCATATTTGACTTGGGCAACTTCGTGAAATTGTTCTTCAGGACAGAACCCAGCCAAGTGCTCCGCATAGCCATAAAATCTGTGTTCGTCGGAGGGTCGGAAGGTTCCACCGTAGAGACCTTTGGCTTGGGCTTGGCATTGTACCGGAAAACCGGCGCAGTGCCATTCTCCTGTCACCGATTTTGTCACAGCAACGATATATAGTTAACATGTGGATATTGACAGTTTATGCCACCAATTTTGTTAGGGTTCACACACACTCACGCCTCTGGCTTTTGCGTCATCTCGTGCTCGACCAGGTTTAGGCTTGTCACACCTGACGTGCGAGTAACGTGGCACACCAAGTCTGCCAAGGACATGGGCCGCTTGCCATTCGACCCACACATCACCAAAATTTGCAGGTCGTCGTCAACAATCCAAGGGATTGCCTTTGCAGCCACAGAGCGGGCCAGGCCTCACAAACTCTGACTGCAACAAACCACCAGCAACCTTAACCTTAAGCTTCAGCAGGAGGACAACTTGAAGCAAACGTGCGCGCAGCTTACACTGACTGTCAGGATCCAGCCTATTGGGGTCTCTGTTGCATTTGCCAACCCCAATCCAAACAGCTCGCCAGCTTTGACCTCTCGATCAGTATCGGTAGTGTTTTGAAGCCAGATCTCATGCCCACGAGTGACACAAACTTGAATCTTTGGATCGCAAGTAGCAGCACCCTTGGCCAGCAACCTGAGCACAAGGCTCACACCGAACACATCGAACCAAATATTGCCCACACCAACAGCGGCTAGCTGTTGTTGTGGCTGGCGACACGACGCGGCCACTGATCATTGGTAGTATGAGAGAAACTCTCTATGATATTAAAAACCAAATATATTATATGATATGATTTTACCCATTTATACGGCAATCAAGCAACTCAATTCGGCTTTCAAACTGCTCAATGCTAAGCACTTCTGAAGGCATGCGCGTTTGCTCAATATCAATGGGTCTATCACCGTCCTTAAATGATGGGGTGCACAAGGTTCGCGCCGAAGCCTCAGCCGGGGTTGAAGTAGTCTCAGGCTCGCTTTGCGACGGCCTGACCTCTAGCGCACCCTCGTACTTCTTGTTGAACGTGTTCACCTTCTCTTTCAAAGCATTCAAATTGGAGGTGTCCGAAGCATTCTTGAAGGCATCAACAACAGCAGATGGGATCCTTATCGCACACTTGAGAACGCACGACATTTCTCTTTCACTTTCAACTGTTGGGTTGTCCAGAATCACTAAAAATCAAGTTGGGAAGATATTGGTTTGAGAACAATCCATCCATCACCCCAACATGCAAAGGTTCTGGACTTTGTTTCCATCAATAGCCAAGACCGTCGTCGTCGGGGTTGGCTTGGGATAGGGGGCGGCTGGGCGTGTCTTCGGGCCAGCTTCGGCAGTGGAATCCCACCAATCCTAGGTACCAACGTGCATGTTGGTAAGCATACTATCATTTTTTCTCTGCGCAAGTTTTGGAAAATAATAAGCCCTGAGCTGACATGAAGCCTCCTGCAATCTCCGAACCCAAAGACTGCAATTCCTTTGATTCTTCATCGCAGTAGTACGCTGTGAAAAAGTATTCGTGCCCTTGGTTGGTTCGCAACTGCTCTTTCTGAAGCTCGGCGATTGATCTGCCCCACTCGTTGAACCTGCAAAGCATCCAACAGCACAGGGAAACACCAACACCGAATCTAAGCACACGGAAACAGCCCGTCACAGTTCACGCAAACAGCAAAAATACTTTTCGCACCTGTTCGGTAGCATGTCCACAACAAAAATCTTTTTGTTGGCGCCGTCGCTCGCAACGCCATCCAATATGCCTTTGATAATCTCCTGACATCCCTGGATACCTCTCTGCTGTACCTCAAGCTGCGTTGCTGCGACACTACAATATACAATTGTTTTTGAACTGCGCTGAACCAGAGAGACCAGGCGCTCGCAATGGAGCAGGAAGTGGGCGGTCTGGATCATTGTTGACTAAATCGCAGACTCTTGAGCGGCTGATCGGCCCCAACGACCCCAACAAAGCAGCGGAAGGTGCAAACGCCCAGTTCTTGTGTATTGGTGACGCTGCCATGATGCCTCGCAGTGGAATGACATAAAATCAACCGAATAGTCGAAGTATTTACTCTCAAACATGCACGCCCCCTGGTTTAGGTAAAATTGCATCAAGCCACTGCCCTGGCTCCTCTTACGCCTGTCTCCAGAGTGTTCGGTCGCTGAAAAGTTGATAGCAATCTCCGTTGTGTCAAAAGACCTGGAGCAACCCAATATCCCTTCCCTCTTGGAAATTGTATCTATATGAATTATTATATGAATGAATAATTCAACCAATTATTCACTTAACATGGAAGATGTAATTTGGCCAGAAAGCTTGAAAAGCAAATCTTCGAAGATACGGCGATGCATCACGACAGATTCTTGGGTTGTGCTTCCATGAACAACTGGCAAAAGAACAAATGCGCCAGCGTTGGGAGACGCAGCGCAAATTAATTTTGCGCACGCCGTCGCATCGTCCACCAACACCTTTCCTCAGCTTGAGTGACCGCATTCTACCTTCACACGTTCAAGCACTATCAATGGCTGCTCAGCGCCAACAGTCAGTACAAGAGGCTTGTCTGTTTCAAGAACAATTTGGACAAAGCCTCGCTTGGGCCACAGTGTCGCGTCCATGACCACCAGCGCCAACCTGATTCCAAACATATGTCAGAAGTAAGTCAGAAGCCAAGATCAAACAACTTGATGATTTGGTTTGATCGCACATCACACCACGCTGAGAACACTTAGAGTCTTTCTCTCTGGCATGACGAGGAACGACGACCCACCTTGGCGCTGGACTTGCTCCAAGAAATCTGGGACGCAATCTTCCAAGTTTTTGACCTGGACGTAGCGCTGGTGAAGCTCGCAATATTTTTGGACTTGGACAGTGCCACGGCTGTAGCGATCCGACAAGTACTTCAAGTCAAGATTACCCTTAGCGTGCAATGGCGTTGCATGCGCGAACCTGCAAGTATTACAGTGTTACCCTCCCTGTAGCTACACCGCAGCGCAAGAATATAATAGCATGTAACCCAGCAGCAGCCAAGAAACTTGACGGTCGCAATAAATCTTCTTCTCATCAAAGTACTGCCCAAGCGTGGCCAATTCATTTTCCATCTCGACCTGCATCTTGGAGAAGGACGCTGCAACCAGTTCGTCGGCCAGCCTTCCCAATGAATATGATCGCGCTTCAAAAGGTGTTTGTTCTAACGAAACTGTGCGCTTTGTGCATCCTTCAGGGAAACTTAGTGGGGCACTTCTCTGCCGCTTTCACATTCATGTCAGACACCTCTGCAAAACATAAATGGTCAGTCACTTGCCACACATCAGCCTGAAATGACCCTCAATTTAAATCAATAGACCCCTGGGCCTCCTTTGCATGTTTGCTGCACGCAGAACGGAAGGCTGAAATAGCAATGATGTCTATTGGAGGCACACTACCCTCCAACATGGCAGACAGCTCACTGTCCAAATGGCGAAGATTCCACCTTGCATCTTACTCAAAGAGAGACACACGCAACTTAGTGGACAAGTCATGAGAAATCTCAGCACTTGAACGTTGCTAAGAAGAAACATGTCAAAAGTACACTGTCACGCAAGACACGATTTCATGATTGCAGGGAGCTCAGCATCTGTGAACTTGCTTGGAAACTTCTTCTTGAAGATGCGGAGACAGCTAGCAAACAAGCAGGCCCTTCGTTGCAACACTTCCTAACTCAGAAAGTGAAGCAACCGACGGCTCGACATGATTGACCACTAAATGGGATTCACTCAAAGTGACATGAAGAATTTAAAACCAGACCAGGATCAAGCTCTTTTGTGCCGTATGGTTTCCGCATACGTGTGTTCAAGCTGGTCCAGTCTCCTCCTCCGAGTTGTGGAGCTCACTCTCCCACATCGCGCACTGCGGTGTGGAACCACAGTACGTGTTGTTGAAGAGTCCCATCGCTATGGGCTCGTGAACCAAAAAGCGGCCCATTCCATAAGTCCTGGCCAGCTCAGCCCATTAAACCTAAACAGTTCCATTCTAACCGTGTCCTGACAATCTCTGTGAGGCACCAAACAATGCTGTTCGGCACGTGGCTCATTAGGTTCAGCGCCGCCTCGGCCTCGCAGCGGCCCAGGCTATATGCCGCTGCGAAGCTTGTTGAGGATTCCCAGGCCTGCCAGAACAGCCACGGATTCAGAAAATTACAGTGATCTAAAAATAACATCTAAATAAAAACTATATCTACAATAAAAGCATCAGGAACTCACTCTGACAAGGGAAGGCCTCCAAAGATCCCGTCTGGAGAGAATCCACTTTCTTCTGCAGTTGCAATTGGAAATGCAAATGAAACGCATTGGGTTTCCGTCGGGTCGATGTGCTTGCAAGTGTGATACCTGAAAAAGCTAACATCCAATCATTCGCAGAACTTGGGCAAACAAAACACAACAACTCGTCAACATACGGAGCATCCACATGACTGCACACGTCATTGATCCCAGGGCACTGCGATTCCGAGCAATCAAATCATTTGCGGTGCTGCAGCAAGAATTTGTCGCGTATATCGTTGCCAAGCTCCTGAGTATAGTAGTCAAACACACACCTGCAAGACTTGATGAACTCTCTTCACCGCACAGCCCATATTGGGGTCAAGTGGCGTCTTGAGTTCTTCTGGCCACTCCTGCACACAAAGTACGCAAATTAAATGTGTGCGGGGGCGTGGGACTGGGTAGCATTGTCTTTTCTTTCAGGTCAAGGCCCATCAAGGCCCGCCTCCAAAACATCCTGGTTCTTGTACGCATACAGCAAAACGGCCACGGCGCAGAAGCAGCGGGTAAAACCCTTGACATAGAACACACTCATGGGTGGTAAGTACTCGTTCATGGAGTCGCCTTGAACCTCATGCTCCGCGATCTGTGCTGTGAAGACTACGGGGATCGGTTCGGTCAAAAGCTCTGTGTTGACCTTGCAGATCGCAATCTTCTCGACACCGGGTTCGTCGGCGTTTGTAGCAAACCTTGATGGCAAGTGTCCGAAGCTGGGTAATGTTGCATGAGAAGGACCAAGCGCTGCAACAAACCAAACACCTATTATATTCAAATATATAAATGAAGCCACTTGGATGATACAATAAGCTGACACAGCATTTGGGCCACGTCCTGAGCAGTTGCACGGACAGTAGAAGGAAGAGTGTGTCCACTTCATGCCAATTAGACCGAGTCCGTCGGGCTAAGGCCGTGTCCGGTTCTATGTAACCTCGAAGTCCGAATTGCGCATGAAAGTTCAACATCCAAGGACGTAGCTGAACCGGGCCCGGAGAGTCCAAGCTGTTGGGGGTAGCGTAGCACCTAACATCTGAGAAAACACGCGCACCTGCACACATACACTGTCCTCTCTACTCGGGATTGGACACGCTTGGGTCTGGCGGAAATTTGTCCTCCACGAACTTCCAAAACGTCGTGAGCTGGTCCTTGAGTGCGTCACTTGTACAACATAAAGGGAACCACAATTTTTGAAAATGGTCCTGATCTTCCACCAACGTCTTGGTCATGTACTTCTCCAAGCTGTTGTGCTCGTTCAGAATCACACCCCTCGGTCACAGTCAGGTATGAAGTAAAATTTGGAGTTCGGATTGCAAAGCAACGCCACCCGACAGAACCCTGATACTGGCATTGTTACACCTTAGGTCGTTGGCTGAGGTGGAACGCAACCAAGAAACAGCCATTTGTCAAAGCGCTGAACCCGCTCCTTCAGCAGCGCCTCGACTGGCACTTTGAGTGGCGCATCTGTCAGCTTCGGTTGCTTTGCACTTCCCGGGCCATCACCCGATTTGCGCTTAGCGCCCATTGCTCAGAAAGCCTTCACTGCTACCGTACTATGATTGAACCGCTGTTCAAACGATCAGCGTATTCAAGAACACGTTCAGGAGAAATCATAAGTTAAACCAGTGAAAGCGATCGGACGCAGCCTTCCACAAAATTGTTTCACCACAACAAAACAGGCACTAAAAGCATCACCTGCCCCAAACAAAAGTACAACTCCCTCAGCACATTTAGGGACCTCGCATCCGCCACAATGTTTGTGCATAATTTTGATGTCGCTGATATTCTGCACAAACGTGTTTCCAATTCATGTCTCAACATATGGTTTTTAAGTCTACTCAGTAATGTTCACGCTGCACCCAACACCCGTAGTGTTTTAGGGTTTAGGATTGCGCTACCCAGCAAAATTTGTGCAGGATGTCAGTGACATTCTGCACAAACACTGTGGTCATCCTTAGAATGATTTTGTTTTTGATTGTGTTAAATTCAACATTTACTAGGGAATGTCCATGCCGCTCCCAAAAAACCGTACCGTTTGGGGTTTAGGGTTGCACTACCCAGCAAAGTTTGTGCAGGATGTCGGTGACATTATGCACAAACTGTTTTCATCCTTTGAATGAAACATATAAATATCTAGTATTCAATTCACAGTTTACCGGGGAATGTCCATGCCGCTCCCAAAAAACCGCACCGTTTAGGGTTTAGGGTTGCATTGAGTCACTAAGTGATCAACTGCGCAAAACTTCCTTGAGTACCCAACCCCTCACAGCACAACAGTTGGCCCAATCCAACAAGTGGCACAACTCTGATTCGTGCATTATGTTGACAACATCATGCAGGAAACCTAGCATGGCCATATGCAACACACCCTGTTCCAAACCACATGCCCAGCAATGTGCGACCCTGAAGTTTGGAGATTGTGTTCATGCATGATGCTGTCAACATCATGCACATCCACATTTTACATTCTGAAGGCGTGTTTGTGCAGAACTCTCACCCTGCCACTCTCCATCTTCGCGCTGAGAGCTAAATGAAACAGATGTTTAAAGCTGTAAAAGTTTCAACACCCAAATGACGCTTAAGACTCTCTCCATGTTCAACGCTCACAGCGCAAAAAGATGCAAAAAGCTTTGGAGGTGTCAGCTCCACTCGCTGGAAACTATCACTCCTCAATCACTGCATCAAAAGCTTCTTGCACCGTGTTCAGCGCTAACTCCCAAGGAAGTCCGTGTGACCACAGTCTAGCAGCGGTTTGGTACACGTAGTAGTTTTTCCTACGGCTCTTGTACTTGTCCAGCACGGGCCTCTTGAACGAATCCGCTTGGAGCTTAATCACATTTGCACCCTGGCACGGAACACGCGCAAACAATTGTAAGTTTGAGCGCTGCCCGCCCCCTAAGCTCACCACTGGCTCCACATTCTGACCACGCGGGGCTATAGCCACACCACCGCTTCCAACCGCTGGTCCCACGGAAGGGAAAAACCTTGCACGGACTTCTGTGTCTCCAACAACCTAAAAATTTAATTGGTGTCCATTTTCATTGAGGGTCGAGCGCCCCAATTGGGTACAGCGGTTCTCGTGCGTTTGCCCCATCGGCCAACTGCTCCAAATAGTCGGCAGCGTTGCACAAAGCAAATGGTTCAGCTCCTGCAGACACAGCTCGAAGCAGACCATAAGAACGAAAGAACACATCCATTCCAGCAGAGGGGAAGCCACTGTGAAACGGGTAGATTATCGCTGACAAGGTGCTCAAGGCAGCTGCATACTTTCGGTAATTCTCTGCCGTTTTGGGCTCGATGACATTCTCTTCCGCCACAACTTAGTAGATACAATGAACACCCTGGCGTTTTAACTTTGCAAGAAACAATTGTGGAGGTATGGGCTATGGACTTGCGTCAAAGCAACCAACTGGTGGACCCTGGAGCGCAGCCGCCACACGGGCAGGCAAGTGCAAAAGGACTTTGTCCTGGAAGGCGGCGTCAGCCATATAGCGTTTGGTCCTGGCAGCTGCTCGGACTTAGTAGGAACTCAACTCCAGGACAGTTTTACAATTAAGTTTGACTGCGCGCCGGCCACCCCTCCCGAAGATTTGTGACAACCCTGATACGGGCTCGAGGTTATCTACAAAACAAAACCACACGTCCTCAGAATCACATCGTCCGGTGATGCCACGGTCACCCCACGTCGCACCCAGAACGCACTTTGCACATCAGGATATGCTCCTGGGTGACAATGGGGGTGGAACCTCTCAAACGACGCGCCCATCATGAGGGAATCGTGAAAGAGTTTCATTTACACAAACAACATAGACATAGCGCGTGACATCTCAAACCAAAGAACCACAAACCAGTTGGGGGTCCTCCCAAGGAGTCTCGTCTGTCTAGGGCGAAATAGTGCGGCGCTCCGGGGCCGCCCATGCCCCGAATGAAATTTCCACAGCACCCGATTTGAAGCCAGGTCGACCTGATCGTGAAAACGGCTGAAAAACAGCCTTCATCAAACCTGTATATATATATATACTTATTTAAGGTATATACACTATATGTTATGATTTATTGTTTATCAAAATGCAAGTTGAGAAATAGTTCGAACAATCTTCTCTTCAGCTATTATGGCTTTAAGACTTTGCAATGAGAAATTACATCGGTTGGCAACTGGAACTATTGTGTAGAATTTCTGAAGAGACTTGGTCCAAAGGATGGAAACACGTTACTGTTCGACACTTATCTTGCCTCACCGTTACTCAACCTTGATTTCCGCAACCCCATACCATTTGGAATTTAGCCAAAGATCCACGCCCGCACAGAATCCACCTTGATGGCTTCGCGATTCCTCTCTTCAGGCCTAACAGATGGGTTCGACAAGTAGGTGTTGACAGCTCCAAGAAATTCTTGGGGTGAACGCAGTTCACGCTGTGTGGCCAAGAACGCTCCGAGCAAAGAAAACATCTGGTCGATGTCCTCATGATTGTGTCCACTCATGCAGAAGCACACCCGAGCTGCTCGGATGCGTTTCCGGGCAATCATATAAGACAGATACCGGAGAACTGAGTTCGACTTGGCCTCCTTGGAGGCGTTGTCGGCCTGAATGATCACCCGGTATTGCCTCAAGTCGCAACCATTCAACACCAGTCGGTGGAACAGGATGGACAAAAGCTCAATTGTCCAGTTGGCACCTTTTGGCAGGTGTGGCTCGCTAAATGCGATTGCGAGATAGTGTCCGTGCGCAATGATCCCGGTGCAATCCAGCACGGGTCGATGTAGCCCGTTGAATGATTTGGCAGCGAGAACCTCCGACCTAGGTATTGCCCACTTTGATCTGTCCATCGAGTCGATGATCAGGGTCACCACTTTCTCACCGTCAATGTCTTGTCCGATTCTTGAAAGTGACCTATTGGTCCAGTACACTTGTCTGTCTTCGAATTGTTGCTGTAAGTGAAGGCCCCACATCTTGGCCTGGGCTACGCGAGCCAACTCGTTGTCGTCTCCAATCTTCTTCATGATAACTTTGCGCTTGATGCAGGTATTGCGCTTCCCATGTTGGGAAGGTGCTCGAATTCGCAGTCGATTTGCGAAGCCCTCTTCCCACACCTAAGGCATCTGATGCACCAAGAGGCGCACAACAATAGGGCCAACTATCACCTAGTTGTCCATATTTTTGTGGTCTCAGGGCGCTTCCCAACCAAAAGGACGTGACTATCGTCATGGAGATTATCCTCTTGTGGTGGGTGATAACAACCAACAGCCTTAGGTATCGAACATAATAATTTGTAAAGCTAGCGAGAACCGAATGTCTTGGGCCCATCCCCGTCCCTGTCCCCGTTGTGGCACCAAGAGACTCGCATAAATAGCTTCAAGCTGACCCTTACGAGTGGGTGCTCACTGTGGAAGAGATGCAAATACTCACTGAAGCTTCCAGGGGGTAAACACCGAAGTTCTTTCGCCTGCACTTCATCAAGTTTATCGTCTCGTTTCTTCTCATTCCGCGGGCGCTTGCCCTTGCGGATTCGAAATCGCAGCGGCCGGCTGGTCTGCTGGCGGCCTCCATGATTTGCATTCACTTCCGGCATCGGCTCGGAAAACTTCAGCCACATGTTATTCAAAAACTCGTGGATCTTCTCCTGCTTGTGAGCGTTGAAGCGGTCGGGCCGCTTCCCGAGCCCTGCTTTCGCGACCCGCCCGTCCAAGGGACATGGGTCTCCAGAGTTGATGGCCTTGCGAAGCCTCACAAGTCTTGATGATCCGATACCCAAGATCCGGGCCAAACCCCGGAGACAAATCTTTTGCCCCAAGAGCTTGAAACCCGTTGCTCTTTCCTGCTTTCCTGCGTCCTCAATCGCACGATCTCGCTGCGACAGGAGATTGAATACCTGGGAAAAACTGTCAATCGTAGCAACCAAATTCTTATTTGATATCATATCATTGAAATTTGCAAAGCCGTGGAAAGATGAAAACAAACCAATATCTTACCTTCAACGTCAAACTACTCTTCGGTCTTGATCTTGTTTCTCCATTGAGGCCAGGTCCTTTCGCAATTGCAACAACTTTGTAAATGTATGTTCTCCTTGAAAACGACGAAAGCAGCTTGGCTTTGTCTTCGACAAAGCGGAGCACTTGCACTTTGTCAGCACAATCTGATGCAGCTGCTTTTTCAACGGCCCGAAGGAAACAAGCCGCAATGCTGATGTGCTGCGTGAAGCCTGGGACCTTTCAACAAGTGCGCCTTGCGACGCACTTGCGGCAGAGGATCTGGACCCTGGCGACGCAGCTGGTGTGGCATGCTGCGCACTAGGACCATCGTCATCTGACAGGCAATCCACGTTGGCTATCATGAAAAAGCGAGCATTGCCGCGATGGGTGTGAAGGACACTACGGAACAAAGCTTCTCCCACTCCTTGAAACTGCCCAACCCAATTTGCAATGATTTCAGTTGATTAGGAACACTAAAAAGGATCATGGTTAAATAGTTCATAATACTTCTGAAGCTGCAACGTGTCCTGCAATGACATGCAATGACCTAACTTTTGCTCCGTCCAAGCGCGCTTGCGCCTTTACCCGAAGGGATGAACTTCCACGCCAATGACAACCGAGAAAGCGAGCGGCAACCCACAAAACAATTCAAACATCCGAACATCTTTGTTTTGCAACGCCCGGTTCTTGCAAATATACAATGAAGAACACCGCGGATCGCAATGTGTCTATTTACACCTAGTGCACCAGCCCCACACCAGGTGGATTTCAACACCCTGGACGGAAAACACCAAAACGCATACGGCTCATTGATCCCACTCACTGGCGCCCAACCTTGACCGGGCCCGCGTCAAACCATGCGCACGTTGGGCAACTGCCGGGGATCGGCTCCGAGAGTGACGCGTGGCCTCCGAGGCAGTTCCACACGCGACCGCCGCGCATGAAGCAAGACAAAGACTTGCCTACGGGGTTGGAGCTCTCTCCATACTGAAACACAGCACCAAGGTCCTGAAGTGCGTCAAACATAGAACATGACATTCACCTGACTCAGCAAAAGGAAACTGGTGATGACAGCCTCCTTCGTGACATTGGAAGCTTTTGCATCCTGAAAGCGGACCGCAGCTCGACTAGATTGAAGCACTTGCTCCACTCACAGTAAAGCTTTAAATCCAAGTGATGAAGCCATGAACAAAAAATCACATGTTGGAGCCCTGACCCTCACAACTGAAGTTTCTGCTGCGCAGGCCTGCGCGTCTCCAGCTCCACATTGATCTTCGTTCCCGGTGTCTTTAAGAGCCTCCAAAGCGCAAGCATGTAGGACATGGCAAGGAAGCTTGTTGGTTAAGGCGAACCCACACAACTTGCTTTGAGCTCAGAGCAAATCTGGCTTCCTTTGCCAGTGGGGTGGGCTCCTGGCCTCTGCGGCTCATCGGTAACAAGACTGTTTATGATATGTTACTGCATAAGTGTTCATGCAGAGCGCGCCTTCTGACACAACAGTGTTCTGCTGCACAGCTGCCCCCTGAGGTGCAAATCAGACGCACGTTGCGTCGAAGTTCAAACTTTCAAGTTCAAACTCACCCCATCAGTCAATGCAAACGTTTTGCAGTTTGCGCGCCTTGGAAAGCACACGGCCCGGGTCTTCCAGACACGGCGGCTTGTCCTGTCGCAAAAACGAACACAGTAATCATAACAGCGTCAGGCAAGCTCAGCTTGGTTCCCCAACTGTAACCGAACCATTAGGCCGAAGATATTTAGCGCAAACCTTGCCAGCGGACAGCGAAAACTGATGACTAAAAAGTTGGACTAGTTACACGCATACGAGTCCACAACTTAAAGAAAGAAAAGGCTCACTACGACCAGCCTCGTCCTCAAACGATCTCCACAAGTCAAAGTCAAGGGCTGCCCCAGGATTGACTTGACACACGCCATCCCATTTAACAAGAACACCGTCCTCTCCCTCATACCAGTCCCATGATGAATAATCAGACTCGTCAGACTCGTCAAACACAGTAAAAGGAGAAGTCTCAGCCACAGTCGCAGAATACTCTGTGCAAATATCCACGTCAGCAGGATCCTGCCACGCAATGAAAACGATAGCGCAACTTTTCAATAGGACAGGAACGCCTGAGACTCTTCGGCGGGCGTTTCCAGGACTCCCATGTCGGCACTCTCATCAAGCTGTTTGGACATAAGGCACTAAGATTCTCCAATGATGAGACGACAACCCCTGACAGAAGCGATGCAGCGGCTGCGTGAAAAATACACCTCAAAGAATGACCAAACAATTCTGCATGACAATCTCAATTGCATATTACACGGCCAAAGTTTTCGGACCCCAGTTTGAACTTGCACATCTCCAGTGGCACTAGTGGACAATTTCAACTAGCACCTGCCATCAAATTGCGCCATCAAATAGAAGGCCTTGAATCTACTACGGCTTGTCGCGGACATGGGGACGATCACAACCAAGATTCAGTTTCAATGGTTAATCACGACCGATGACACAATGTAAATGTATAAACATACTTTTGATTTGAACTCGCAAACAAATAAGTTTCCCCTCTTAAACCTGCAGGCGGAGCTAAGCTCTCATAGAGTGCTCCAGCACATGAAGAGCTAGTTGAGCACACCGAGGGATCACCATATTGCCTACACTTTGCAACCTTTGCTGGTCTTGCTGGGTGCATTCAGTTGAAAGCCAGCAATGCAGCTCAGGTCGGTCACGATGGTTCCACGGCTCAAGCGCCCGGCTTTCCATCTCATCCGAGGTCATCAAAGTCAGGTTCTGAAAACACAAGCAAAAGGTAGATTTGAAACTCAAACAAAAAACACGACAAGGTAGAGTTGAAACTCAAGCAAAAGCTCCTGGAAATGGAAGTCACCCTTTGTCGCCAATAGAAACACTCGTTCTCTGCACACCTTGAGATTTGACAAATTTACTTTATAACAAGAACTTGCCTGCGCATCAGCGCTCACGAACCCAGCCTGAACGCCGACCATGTGCCCCGTCACTGTTGTCCAGCGAACACGAAGGCCCCGACGTGTCAGCTCCTGGCAATCAAGCAAGTGCGCTGATTGGGCTAGAGATTGTTGCAACGTCTCCAAAACGGAGAAAACACTTGGCAAAAAAAGATCCTGAAGCACATAGTCCATCACATGACTCATGGCAGCACTCAGCAAGTAAGCTACGTTCTCCAAGAAAACGAAGGACCTTTGCGCAATAAAGCGCCGAGACACAAAGAACATGAAGTGATGCGGAAGAAGTAGTAAGTCATCAACGACGACCAAAGCTGCCAAAGCACACAGACTCGCATTCGTCGGCCACCCTAAAAACGTGATCTACCAAGTAAGACCTTTCTCCTTGAAGTCCGAGACAATGTCCGGCTTGACAAATGTCCTTATCATGAAAGACTCGATGAACCCAAGCAAATCCTAGCAGTGGGCATGGGACATGAGCACAATGTCATACCAATTCATTCAAAGAGCTTGACAAGGGAATCCTGCGCAAATGCCACGAGCCCGTTTCTTGATACTTGGAGAGGGGATATATGTCGTCACATCTTCAGCAACGGGACCATCTGCGATCATCTTCTCAAACATTCGCGAACGCAGCACCGCAACACAGTGTTCATTCTGCTCCACCTTGCCGAGAAAACCAGATCCAACTGAATTTGGTGGGTTGATTGAAGCACAATTGACAAATAAATATTGATTCACAACCTTGGTCCCTGGCGTATTGTATCGGGAAGCACACCCTTGGTATAAGAACGAGAAGAAACATTTGGTTTGATGCGTTCTAAAAGGCTGCGCAGTTCAACAGGCAATTAGGTGCGCGGCTCCCTCAGGCCAAGTTCCAGCCCTCCTATGCCTGAGAACATGGAGATGACTGGGTACGCCGCCTGGCATCAGACTTGAAGCTTTTCGGTGAACAAACCATTGACACGAACCTCCTCGGACACTGGGGGGAACAACTCGTTGTAGCGTTCCCGACATACTTTGCCACATTCCGGCAACGTCCAATCTCGCGGAATTCCTGCGTGCAAGAACTGTAGACTAATAAGAGGCCGTAGTGGTTCTGAAAAACATGATGGAAACCAAATCGTGACTACAAACTAAATGCAAACAACATTTCACTACCAGAGCACCTGCAATCCACTCGGCCAACAAGGGGGGCACGAACCGGTGCTGCCCATTCCTCTTGACTTTGTTAGCCCTGCATGCTCTTTTATATTGGTCCCAGTAGCAAATCTGGGTTCCAAAATCCTGCAGAATTTGAAGCCAACCACACTGAGTGGCAAATTTGCACACAAACCAATGACAGCAAAATGCTTGCCTGTTTACCTCTTTGGGACAAATACCCAATGTTGGCTCTATAGGTTGCCCCATAGAGTCCTCGACATGAACAGCGCCGCACAAAGAACCCCCTCAACATTTTCCAGTTCGCGGAACTGAGCTGGCCACTCACACTGCCAAACGATTGCATCACAATGGGTTTAGACATCAGCTTCGTGGTTTTGACGTTGTCCGACTTGACCTTTTCCGGTACCTTCATCGTGGGACAGGTACGGTGATATGTTATGCGTTTCAACAATCAAACACCTGCACTACACACCTGCAAAGTCTGAATAACAATGTATAACAAAATACATAGTTGCCCAGGAGACTAATCTCATGCTGAGTGGGGCAGCGTGTGGTCTGCATACAGGCTCAAAAGGAACCACGGGCGGCGCAACGCCAGATTTTGGATACTTCGCCTCTGAGCGCAGTCAAATCAGGCTACGCTAAGTTCTATCTGACTCTGACACTAAAAATAGAACAGACTTGGAACGACGCCTGCGTCTTCGTGACCCCAGGCCCACGGTCTTTCGTCTTCATGGTTTCGGTCTCCAAGCTCTCTTCACTGGGCGGGCCGGGGAATGTCAACACAGTATTATTCTTGACGCGCCTTCCTAACCATTCTAAACAACATGCATCAAATCTTGGGAACGCACTCGCTGAGCCTATCAACGTTCGAGATCATGGCGGGCCAACAACAATCTGAGCCACAACAACTACGGACCACTACCTGTAGATAAAAGGCCAGGCGCAGTGGTTTCACTGACAAGAAAAGAAAAAATACCCGCGAACGCAGGCGACCGAACGATGAACCGCAACAACACATGCGAGCCACCAGTTTTCTTGGTAAGCGCTGACCTGTGACCGACGCCTTTTACTCTACTTTAAAGAATGGCGCACTCAAACAGGTCAACGTTTAAGTTTAAGCTCCACAGAAAAATTGAACCAATCAATTTAGTAGACTTAGAATAGTATTGAAAGCTCACAAAGTCGGTGACTTTTGTTGTGGCGGGTCACCATGTGCTTGAGCCGTGCTTGCAAAGAGGCTGACACATCATCCATCCATCCAAGACCTCCTCCAAAAGTTTTCCCATGGATGACTCACACATGGATCTGACACGTCATCCATCCATCCATCCATCCAAGACCTCCCCCAATTACTTTAGGAT